ATAACTACATTTATGGTTTTATCATTCTCCCACCACCATTACTAATCATTTCTACCAATTTACAATAACTATTAGCTAATTATATTATCATTGTCTCCAATCCCTTGCAACATTACTATCATATCATATAGACCCGCTATAATTATCAAATTAAACTACCCTCTCACCCAGCATATTAAATATTAAACATCACCATATAAAATAACCAATAAGGATTACAAATTTCTACCTGTTATATATACACAGTCATCAAAAACAAACAAATAACCAGCTTTAAATATAACAAATAACCCCTACCACCTTTTTTTTTTTTTCAAAAATTTAAAAATAAATATAAATAATAATAATTTTTACCTATCATAATTTTACACAAACCCCACCACACATATATACATACATGCAAAGAAATTTATTCACTGGAAAAATAAAAATATGACATGTATACATCCATGAGACATTCACGAGAAATCTTCGCTACACTCCCAATCTTTGAATTTCAACATACGGTTTCCCCCACCACTTCCACAATAACACCAATACACGCAATCTAGATAAACCCAAAATTTAAAACAATTAATCAGTCTGTCTGACGATCACTAAAGCGTGAAACCCAGGGTCACAAACTCACCTCTATCCAACCAAATATGTTAGCTCTATCTCTGATATTGAGCACTTTCTAATAAGCACCGCACATATAATATATAAATAATTATACATATATATATTTATTTATATTTATATACACACACTTTTCACATATATATATATATATATATATATATATATATATATATATATATATATATATATATATAAATGTTGGAAAACTTAGCCATTGTTGAGGTATCAAAGTAAAAGTAGGAAAACACTCACAAATTAACAGCGTCCAATGATGTTGACTGGTTCTTTTTTGGGGGGGAGTATGCATTGCCCTTGCCTTAGGGAGTCGGGCTGATCAAGTGCTACATCTTTCTCCACTTTTTAAAGAATTATTCATGCACAATCTTTGTTTGAAATCAACCACTCACCAGGAGACTTCATAGCTGAAGCCTCTTAACGAGTTACAGAATATTTACTAAACAGTTCGTCTTCGAAACTCTAGTCAAGGTGCTGAATATAACATCAATCAGCTAATTGACAAATTTTATATTTGTATTAATCCTACTAATGCTCTTTCCCTGATGTCAAATACTTTAAAGCAAAGGCCACTTGCCTTAAATGTTCTTTCTTTCAAACTTCCACTAACAGCATTTTTTTTATTATCTCTCTCTCTATCTATCTATATATATATATATATATATATATATATATATATATATATATATATATATATATATTTATGAAGAAACAGTTTCAAGATGTGCTATATTTATGGGATAAAGTGCTCAATGTCTGAAATAGAGTATGTGTAAATATAAATATAAAAGTGGACATTGAAGTCAACACTCGCTGTTTGATGCTGGACGCAATCGTCAGGCAGCCTGATGATTGCATCCAGCATGAAACAGCCTATCGCCTCTGAGTGTTGACGTCAATGTTCACTTTATATATATATATATATATATATTTTTATCTTAAGATATTAAAACAAAAATATGTTAAAGTCACTACACAATTACAATCATGTTTCAACATCACAAATGTGACTTAAAATAAGTAATATTTAGCTCTACTCTGTATTGAGCCCTTTTTAAAATTAAATGTTACGTACAGTGGCATTCTACTTCATTTGTACCTATATAATTAGTAATGATAACAAATCTATTGGTATATAATCCAGGTGGATCCTAGTAATATGAAATATTAAAACTGATCCACAAAAAGAGCTCACTGTATTTATGATTGCAGAGCAAATAATTAATAAACAATAAAATCCAAAATCTCCTCATAAAGGAAATAGCCTACTTTGGCAGACAAAGATATCAGCCGTCTCTCTTATCAACCCCCGTGTGGACTGAGTTTGTGTCAGAAATAGAAATTTAACTGTGAAAGATAAAAAAAAAGTCCTAGAACTAATACAGATTTTAACCATTTCAATGTTTCTGTCAGACAAAAGGCCTGAGACCAAGATTGATAAGACTGACAACTGATATCTTTGGTTGCTGAAATAAGCTATTCCCCATATGAGGTGATTTGGGATTTTATTGTTTAGTGTGTGTGTGTGTGTGTGTGTGTGAGAGACATTTGTAGACTTCCCTCACATACACACTTATAACACTTACGTGAATTAACGTTACCGTCCTACAAACACAATTATTTCTTTACTTACACACTATTTTACTATCACACAGTTTAACATCCTTAATGTTCCTCACACATATTTATATATTATGTATTGCATTTATACACATAATGTGTTTTGGATCATTGCTTTTTCATTTCTATTCTTGATCTCTGATGAAGCCTTAATAAAGGTGAAACATGTTAGATTGAGATTCGTTTCCTATTTTGTTTTTATTTCATTTCATAATTTTAATAATTATTTGGATATTTCGTCTCCCGTTTTTGAAACATGAGAACTCTTATGTAGCAAAGGAATCATTTTTAAACAAAAAATATTATTATAATATAAGCTCTACTTCTGTATGGAGCACTGTCTTCTTAAAAATAAAAACAAAAAAATACTAAGGAACCCCGGATTATGCACCCAACGTGTTCTTTTCTATTTTCTGCATACCTACGCACTTATATATATATATATATATGATTAATACAAATATAGCTGATTGATATTATTTTCAGCATCCTGACTTTACATTTTCATAGACAGTCTCTGCAGCAATCGCTTTGTCCACTCATCATATATATATATATATATATATATATATATATATATATATATAATAAATATTAAATTTTAGTTAAAAAAAAAAAAAAAAAATAATCATTAGGATAATGCAATAGGTTTGCTACCCATAATGCACTATTGACACTATATGTAAATAGTTGAGCCTAAACACAGCACACATGGCCATAACATTGCGTTCAAGCTGAAATGGACTGTTACCACTTGATGTTAACTTCCGTACTCTCTTTTATATTTATATACACTCTATCGTTGATATTGAGCACTTTCACCTATAAATATAACATATATAACAAAAATATAGACTATATTTTTATCATATATATCCCATATGTAAATACCCAATCACATGTGTATAACCATAAAGAGAGTGTATGTGTTTGTTGAATATAATTAAAAAAAAAATTATTTTTGTAAGACTCTTTTTTTTATATAAAATATATGTAATAAATTAGAACTATTATCTAACAAAAAAAACTTTAAAAGCATCATACTTAAATTAAACTATTTTAAATGAACTTTGATAGTGTTGTCAGTTTATATGTTTTGCTCATGACAAAACAATTGTTATATAAACATTTAAAACACATTCTAGCTAATAAGAAATATGCCAGTGTTGTGTTTCTGCAATTTCACTATAGCTGTTTTTGTTTTGTTTTTTTTTTTCGTATTTTTTATATCCTAATTATTGAATAAAACAAATGAAGACTAATTCATAAACCTCCTCCTCTAAATTCACTAATTGTTCAAAGTTTCAAGTTCAGTTTTATTCATTGTCTACAGACTGTAATGATATCATGCCTGTGTTCTGATTACATTGTTAATTCATCCAATATTTACTGTTTATATTTACTTATAAATGTTGCCTTCTGCCACCCCCTACTTAATGTCGAATTACTTCCTATTTATAGAATGTATATTATCTAATAGAAAAAATCTAATTATCACTCAACTTATTGTTTTTTTTTTCCTGTTTCTTTGTAGTCTGTTCTGCTTAAAAGGTGGAAACAAATCTGTAATTAGCAGTAAGCAAACTTGGAGTTACCTCCTTTGAAGGTTTTATACATTTAGATCAATTTATATGGTATTAATCAATTAAAAATTAATTCACAACTGTTAGCCCAATTTGAACAGGAATTTCTTTATTTTAACAGTATTCCACTAATAAAAATTATGCTAGGATGTGCTGTTTTTGCAGTCTTACAGTCACAAACAAAAACTTTCAGAAATTGGATCATTATAATATAGATTATCTGTTGAGACAGCATAATAATGATCTCAAGTTTGTGGATTTTGGTGGTTGGAGGGGTTCCAGTATGTGAAGGTACTACAATCTCACATTTTTTATGTGAATAAGGATGTGGTGGGGAATATAGGTTTAAAAAAGATACAAGTTTGAAGACATTTTTTTGGTCACCAGGTTTGTTTTTTCTGACAAAAATCTTTCTTTCCACTAACTTTCTTTCCACTTTCTTTTTTCTTTCTTTTTTCCTTTCTATCATTTCAGCCCAAGTAAAGTAATAATGCCACAAGAATGCAATGGTATTACTAGAAGATAATGTGAAAACTTTAGTGAGGAGAAAGGACAATAAAAGAACACAATTCAAGAAGACAGAAAATACCAATAGAGATTGTATTTAAATTTTTGCAGAGTGTAAATAGCAAGAAATTAAGAAACCAGAAGAGAGTTCCACAGGCAAGAAGTGTGAGATGAGAAACTATTCGGATAGAAGATATGGTTGTATCTACCTAGTTCAGCAGTAAAATTGTGAGACCTAGTTTCTAATCTAATCATATGCATAAATTCATATGGTTGAGTTTACCAAGGAGGAGATTTCATTAGAACAATTGCCATGAAAATTTTTGTAGAAAAGACAGAGAAGTCATGGCAATGTGAAAGTAAATGAAGTCAAAATACCAGGTCAGAATGGATAACATTACAGACCATTCTTTGGATTTTGTCAATATCTATTGCAAAACAACACTTGCAATGTTTGCATGTGTGTTTTGTTTTTGGTTTTTTTCTTTCTTTTGAGGATTTGTGTCAGTCTTATAGACATGTGATCTTTAGTAAAAAGCTATTTCTGTGCGATCATGTGCAGATTACTTTTACGGTATGAGAAACTGGAAGGTCTGAAGTAATGAAAAAAAAAAGGGGGAAGAATAAGGGGAAAGAATAGAAATGGAAGAGGTGATGAAAGAAAGGATCAGTGGTGTTGTGGGGAAAGAAATGAAAAGGAGTAGGGTGAAGGAAGCAAGAATGCAGGAGAAGAAATGAGAGAGAACAAAGAAAAGAAGGAAAGAATCAAGTGAGGAATAAAAAAGAACAAAAAGACTACACTTACTGATGAAGAGGAAGAAAGAAAGATGAATGAGAATCAAAGGAAGGTAGAAAAGCAAGAGGAGGAGGAGGAAGTCTGGAGAATCTTTTCTCCATATTTTCTTCTTCACTCCTTTTTCTTCTCAATCTTCCTTCCTTTTCTCCATATTTTCTTCTTCACTCCTTTTTCTTCTCAATCTTCCTTCCTTTTCTCCATATTTTCTTCTTCACTCCTTTTTCTTCTCAATCTTCCTTCCTTTTCTCCATATTTTCTTCTTCACTCCTTTTTCTTCTCAATCTTCCTTCCTTTTCTCCATATTTTCTTCTTCACTCCTTTTTCTTCTCAATCTTCCTTCTTCATTTCTTCCTTTTCTCCATACTTCCTGATTCATTCCTTCCTGTGTATGGAGAAAAAGAAAGAGTGAAGAAGAACGATTGAGAAGAAAAAAGAGGAGAAAGGAGAATCATGAAAGAAGAATGGAGAGAAAAAAGAATGTGGGAAGGAATAAGGTGAAAAGGAGAAAGTAATAAGTTTAAATAGGAGGAGGAAATGGCGAAGTTTGTAAAGGAAACTGAAAAAAATGTACCCCCCAAAAAATGAAAGAATGTTACAACAACGAAAAAGACAAGTAAAAGATGGTGAGAATGGATGTAGGAAAGTTCAACTGAAGATTGAGTAAAGGAATGAAGATATGAAAAATACTAAACCAGAAAAGAAGCAGCTAAATATATAATATATATATATATATATATATATATATATATATATATATATATATATATATATATATATATATAGAGAGAGAGAGAAAAAAAAGTCAGGAAAAAGAAAAAAAACTCATGACAAAAAAAAATTGGTCAACAGAAAAAGTTCTAAATTAATGTTTTTTTTTTTTTTTTTGGGGGGGTTAAGTAAAATCTGTTTATATCAAAACAGTAATTTGAACTCACAGATGAAGGATTTGAACTATTTATTTTTGTCTAGTTTTTCCTACATCTTATTCTCTTTTTATCCCAACTAGAATCTCAAATCCCAGCAATATTAACCATTGCCAATTCAGCCATGTCACAATAAAAATCTGCAACTAAACAGGATAAAATCCTAGAATTATACTATCTTTCCCAACACCAGTAGTTTATACCATATTGTTTTTGCTTTTATGATCTTGTAAACATTTTAAACTACTTGAATTCTGAAATGAAGTATTTTCCCTAGTAGATTTCAACAAGTCATTTACTCTTTTTCCTTTTTTTTCACAACTTTTTTCTTCATTCTTCCTCTTCTATTCTTCAGGATGTGGGCAATGATGGCTCTCCACAATTTCCTGTCCTTTGTAGCCCTTAGTAAAGTTTGTCTTTTTATTATATCTCGAAATCCCTGTTTTGCCAATCATTTACAAAAGCTCCTTATGTAGGTTATACGCTGCTTTTCTCTGTCACTTTTGCCTTTAATATGTCCTGTGAGTGTCAAATTTTCCAAACCTTCTTTCTTCATTATGTTGCTTAATTCTACCTATTTCAAATATGGAGACATTTTAACACATTATAAAAAAACAACACTAATAAAAGACTTGCCAAAAATTAATAAGACCCTGTTTTTTTGGGGGGGTCCTTAATTTTCTATTTGTTTTTTTATAAAATAAATCAAAGAAAATAGATGTTTCCAAATTTTAGTTATCTCTCTCTCTCTCATCTTTCCAAATTTCAGTGCCCCCCTCCCCACATCTTTTTATTTCTTAGCATTTCTCCTAATTAATGAAAAACAGAGCATTTACTCAAATAACATATAAACAGAAAATATATTGAAATATTTGTTGGACTTAATCCATTTTCTCTCTCTCATATATATATATATATATATATATATATATAAAATTAGACTTGAATTAGACTAGGAAACCGCAGTATTGAAAAATGCTTGATACACACATAAAAAGATAAAAATTTAAGATGTGGTGCTTTTAAGTATAAAAAATTAGATCACCTGATTCCACTACCTTGGTTTCAACCTTTCGTTATCTTCAGGTAATTTTGGTCAATTTATTTCCTAACACTTGATTTTTTTTTTTTTTTTATAAAATAAAAATGTGATGAGCATTTCTCTCTGAGTAGTAACAATCGTAGCACAGTTCTCCACGTTACATTTAGCAAACAGGTTCGCTGACTAAATGCTGCCTTGTTCACTCCTCTATTTATTTTGTCCTCCTTATTTGCATATATCACAAAAAATATATGAAAAAAAACTGTTTCAAAAATAAATAAATGAATAAGCACACAACATGAGGTGTGTTAAAAGATAAGGAGGAAAGCAAGTGTATTAGAAATGTATCAGGAGGCGGGGGGTTAAATGAAATATACATAATTTTCATCCCACTTCATATGAACTCAAAAAGGAACTTTTTAGTGTGTGTGTGTATATATATATATATATATATATATATATATATATATATATATATATATATATATATAATGGGATTTTTTTAATTTTTTTTCCTAAAAGTAAAGCGTTAGGAAATCAATTGACCAAAATTGCCTGAAGATACCGAAAGGTTGAACCAAGGTAGCATAATAAAACTGATATATAAATGCTTTATATATCAAGAACAATTTTAAAGAAAAGTTTAGGAGCTCATTTATTTATGTTTACTTTGATGCAACTACAAATGCACACAAAGGAAAGGGAGGGATTCTGTAAATTTTAAATTTATTTTTAATTTACTATCTGTTTTGGGAATATAATCTGATTTCATTTTGTTTATATTCCCCTCAATTTTTTTTTTTTTTTTTTAATGCACCATGCTGTGACAATAGAATATCTGCCACAAACGGTGAAATATTGTAAGAACTCAGACACAAATTTACTGTTGCTGATTTTGCAATCAAAGCACTTTCTATTTTTCTCTTAGTAAATTGTTTTCTCTTTTAAAAAAGCATTTTTGAAATTAAAATTGTGGTCCGTATTGTTACAGTTAGTAACTAATGCATTTAAATGTGTTTTGTATATACCCAAAGCATTAAAGAAAAAAGATTTTTAAATTCAAAATTTTCAGTGTCCCTCTTTCCTTTGTGTACATCTGTAGTCACATAAACATAAATTTAGTCTGAAGTCCTAACATATGAAAAGCATAAAAAAAAAACAATACTTTATAAAATGAGTATTATTTACATCTACTATCCTCATCTTTGTTGTTATTTTCACAATGTTTCAACAGTTGTGCCTTGTTCAGATGTTTTATTTAGATAACTTTCAAAACTAAATCCTTTATTTAATCTTTGTAGATTATACTTGTTCCATGTCTAGAGATTTCTTGTTTTGTCCTCTTTTTAGTACTGCTTCTGAGTCTTTACTACCCAGCCCAAGGATTGAACTCACAATTACTATGTCACCAAATTCACAAAGCAATCCTTTTATCCTGTGGGATAATTCTGAATCTAGAACTGTGGGGCTGAAACCTCACGGTCTTATTGATTCCTTACTGCTGACTTTCTGTCAAGCTTGAGTCTCTTTGCTGCCATTTCTATTTCTTTCTTTACTCCAGGGAACTAACTACTCATCCTAGAAATTTAAACAAACCTGAGCATGGTGATAAAAAAAAAACAAAAAAAAACACAGTGTTGAGATCAAAGGCAAGTTTGTTAAAAATTAATAACAATAGTGAAAATGCATCATTAAATAAATTTAAATAAATTGTTAAAAATGTCTTAACCTTTTTGTTTTTAAATTTTTATTTCTTTTATGTTTTTTTTTTTAGAAAGGCCAAGACGCAAACCTATCCATCCTTTCTTCACCTTAGTTGAATTTTTTTGTCCTGCCAACAGTAATCCTAGTAAAATGAGTGATAATGACACAGATGCTCTTTTACATTCTTCTGTTGAATATGAAGAAGCCAATAAGGAAGACCAGGGCTCGGCAACCAGCATCCAAATTCATGAAGGCCAAACTATGGATCCATATTTGGAAGAGTCTGATACACATAACAGGTAAAAATTTAAACACTTATGGAGTGGTGCACGCATGTAAAATGTGTGTGTGTGTGTGCATATATATTTATATATGTGTGTATGTATGTGTGTGTGTATATATATGTGTGTGTGTGTATATATATGTGTGTGTGTGTGTATATATATATATATATATATATATATATATATAGATAATATTAGTGGTAAATATACACATACATATGCAAAATATATAAATATATATATACATAGGTGCATACACATACATGCATATTTTTTGAATAAAAACTATTTTTATTTCCGGAGTTGTTTTTTTCTGTTTTCTTTTTGAATTTGTAGGTCTGATGAATTGGATCGTATTTACAATTCCAATGGAATAAATTATGACCATGGAATATTAGTGTTTAAGCCTTTTTATTTTTATATATATATATATATATATATATATATATATATATATATATATATATATATATATAGTCATCCACAGACAGACTGTTTTGCTGTATTACAGCTCATCAGTGTGGCTAGACATCTGATTTGCGTTGTAACGTGAAGGAATTCAAGCTTGTATGAAAATATAAGAACCTATTGATCACTACATATTTCCTATATCAACGGAAGGGATTTCTTGAACTGTTTATTTAAAATAGTTCAATCGACTTTAATTTTTTTTTTATAATATATATAAATTATTTTTTTTTAATATTTGGAAATCATCTTCGAATACGTTTTAACAACAACGCCCATGTGACGACAACGTGATCATATTTAAACGGAACGCTGATTTTATATAAAAATTTCAGTTATCTGTTTGGATTAGTTGTGCTCTTATGTCCATTGTCTTTTGTGTTAAATTTTTATATGTTCTAATGTTAATTATGTTTAAATGAAAATGTCCTGAAGATGGTCTAAAATAGACCGAAACGTCCGACGTTGACTTTATATTAACATTAATACAGCATAATTGCATATTAAGATTTTTGTTTGTTTTTTCTGTATTTTTCTTCATACTGTCGGATCTATATTCATATATTTGCTTATATATATATATATATGTATATTTAGGCAGCAATCCTTCCTTTATGCATGTTTCATTAAAAACGACAGACAAGGTACTACGGTTGAGCTTTTTATTTAATTTTTCTTGTGTTTTGACAAGAGCTTTCTTTTCTGGACAAAGAGTGTGTAAGAACTGTCCGAATGTTCTGTATTTCCGAGCGCTTTTGGCTATACCTTTAGCCATTATCAAGGATGATTCAATTATCAGCTTAGTAGAGTGTGTGTGTTCTGTGTATGTTCAGTGTGTGGTAGTGATGTTTTTAGTTTCCGAATACGGTTAGCACATTGTGGCTTTGTTCATAGTTAATATTGTTAAGAGTTGGCTTTTTCTTTTTTATTATTAGAGCTTCCATTATTTTTAGTCTTTTTTTTGCAAGTGGATGCAGTTAATACACACTCTTTGTCCAGAAAAGAAAGCTCTTGTCAGAACACAAGAAAAATTAAATAAAAAAAGCTCAACCGTAGTACCTTGTCTGTCGCTTTTAATATATATATATATATATATATATATATATATATATATATATATAATTAAAAAAGAAGAGAAACATAAAATGTTTTTGGTTGTAATGTGGATTTTTTTTTAAAATATGGAAAATAAAGCATAATATATATTTTTTTAAAATACACATTACAACCAAAAGCATTTATGGTTTTTCTCTCCTTTTAATATATACACTTTTCTCTTGTTGGAACAACTATAACTTATATATATATATATATATATATATATATATATATATATATATATATATATATGTTATAAAAATATACATATATGATTTTCAGCCCACCTTAGAACATTTGTATTGGTATCATTTAATTTTTTGCTGACATTGTCCACTTTTTTCAGAGCCATAAAGGAGTATTGACTCAACTTTGACCCAACATATTTTTATCTTAAGTTCAACTCTCAGTTCAGAGACACAGGTCTATTCATTTTAAAGACTGTTACTGATTAGAGCTATATCACCTGCAATGTCAGTGTTTGTGAGATGAATGACAGGGGTAGAAGGAGCTTCACCAAGAGTGAAGCTGAAATCTCTTTTCAATGATTTGATAAACTGATATGTGAAGATAATAAACAAAAATGATGCAGGTGTGTCTCCTTGTAGGAAGACAGCTTTGATGCTGACATGAAGGTGTTTCTCCATCAGGATTTAAAATTATGGCTATCGTGTTTGTGTAGAGGACTGATAGTTTAAGTTATTTGTTAAGGATTGAAATAATACTTAAGAATTCGAAACACCTTCATTGACTAGCAGTATTTCTACTAAGCCTCATTCCACAATTCTATAATATTAAATGTGAATAGGCATAAATTAAAGGGAAATAACTCTTAGCAAAGAACTGTTGAATCAACTTATGGAGACTCCAAATTGTTCCAGTGTTGAGCTGGTAAGCATTAATGTTTTTTTGTTTTTTTTTTTTTGTTCTGTTGCTGTTAAGATACATAATTAATCCCAGATATATAGTTTAATATTTACAGCTAATATGAGACTTATACCTTTTTTTTTTCTTTGCTGATTTTAAATTAAGTGTTTATTAATTTATTTTTTATCTTTTAAACAGTGGATCACCAGTGGATGAAAATGCTGTTGTCCAACCAAGGCTTGATAAAAACCAAGAGATTAGGTAAGTGCCCATGTTAAGTTTCATTTTTAGCTGAAAATGATAGATGGACATTACACACACACACACACACACACACACATATATATGAAGAAATATAGTTTTAAGGTGTGCTGTATTTATGGGGTAAAGTGCTCAATATCAGAGATAGAGCGTATGTACATATGAATATAAAAGTAAACATTGAAGTCAACACTCAGGGACGACAGGCTATTTCATGCTAGGCACAATCATCAGACCTGATGATTGCATCTAGCATGAAATAGCCTGTCACCCCTGAGTGTTGACTTCAATGTTCACTTATATATTTATATACTCTCTATCTCTGATATTGAGCACTTTATCCCATATAGCATACCTTAAGAGTATATTTCTTCAAGCAACAGAAACAAAGAAAAGAGTACTGAACTTTTATATAATATCAGTCCTCCTATATGGCAATGATGAAACAGACTTTAAGCAACAGAAACAAAGAGTGCTGAAATGTTACGTAATATCAGTCCTCCTATATGGCAGTGAATGCTGAATAATCTCCACAAAAATGAAGAGAGTTGAAGCAATAGTAAGATGCTGACAATGCCATGGACTAAACATGTAAGCAACAACAAAGTTTTTCAGAAAATGGAAACAAAAAGGGCACAAAGAGTTGATATTTCTAGGGCACACAATGAGGAAAGAGAGCTTAGAAAACTTGATACACACAGGACATATTTCTGTATCTGTTTACTTCTAGTGTATTCAATTAAAAATTTGAATTTTTAACGTCTTCTCTTGCCGACAGAAATACATTCTATTTTCTTCGAAATCTTTTTCCATACATCCATCACTTTGTTCACAATATACACTCTTTAGTTTATTAATATAGAGAAAGTTGCTTATCCAGATCATGTTGGGACAACACCTGACAGCCCAACATGCAAATTGCAGATACAGAAATCAAACAGGTGCAACAAGTTAGATACCTGGGAAGCATATTAACAGCGGATAGAATGTGCGACACAGAAATCCGAAGAAGCATTGGGATAGCTAAAGAAACAGAAAGATATCGTTAGAAACTAAAGAAAAAAGTACTGAACTGTTACATAATATCAGTCGTCCTATACAGCAATCCTGAATAATGTTCTCAATGATGAAGAAGAGATTTGAAGCAACAGAAATGTGGTTATACAGAAGGATGCTGAGAACATCATGGACTGAACAGGTGAGCAGAACCAAAATTCTAGAGATGATGGCAAAAAAAGGACACTTATACTTAACAGCAGGCAGAGATAGTTGATATTTCTGGAGTACATGATGAGAAAAAAGGGCTTGGAAAATTTGATACTCACAGGAGTGATTGAAGGTTAGTGGGAGGCAACACACAACCTACCTGGTGAATGCAAGTGAATGGATGACTGAGCAGAGTATGGGAGATATGGCAAAAGCACAAAAGTTATTAAGAGCTACAAGGGAGAGGAAGTTGTGAAGAGCCATGATTTCCTACATCCTGAGGAGACATGGCGCATACAGATGATAATTTTGGTCGTAGCATTTCTCTGTTCATAAGACTAGCATTTTCCATATTGGTTAATTTAAAAATAAAACATACATTTTATTTATCAGATCTTATTCAGTATTGACATTTTAACATGGATTCTGCTACTTACCTAATGTTTAAAATTTACATAGATAAATATGATTTTAATGATAACAGCCTTTTACTTGCTTATAGCTGCTCTGTCCATTGACATTCATGACAGGAGCCAATGCATTTGAAGAAAATAGATTACCAAAGTTTTGTTTTGTATAATCAATAAACAGGAAAATTCTAAATTCCACCATTTCTTTTCCTGATATTTTTTATCTTTTCGCTTTTCTTTGCAGATCAAAGCCTGCAGTATTACGAAATGTTCCCAGTTCCGAGAATACTGATGTTCAAATAGTTCGGTAAGTTTGGTTTTTGTCCATCACATGACATCAAGTTTCAGATACTTTTGCCATTTTTCTTTCTTCATTAATTCTTTACTTGGATTTTTTTTATCTTAATTTCAGTTGTTTTCCATTGCAGCTACAGAATCTTTATTTTCAATCTGTGGCATTTACTATTAAAAATAGAATAGTGTTTTAAGTAGTTAAAATGAGAAGCAAGTTTTATATTAATATTCGCTCAATACAAGGCCCGAGAGCCCATCAAGGTAGAGGGTTTCTCTTAAAATGCTTATAATTAATGAGATGTGTGATATGACTGTAAGAGAAGATGGTAGAAAATGAAGGTTATAAGGAGGAGAGATAACAACTGCCCCTTGACTTCAAGAAGTTAAGAGAATAGTGGTTAAGGAAGCATCCACATGGGAGTGTGTACCATAAAGTAGCAGTTTTTGTTGGGGGGGGGTTAAATAAGTTGAGTTCACCTTTCTCATTACATTTGGAATACAGAGAATGATTTGACTCCATGAAAATAACATAGCATGCTTTAACTAAAGGTCTGAACTAAAGAATGGAGCACTAATCCAAACAATTGCTGTAGAAATAGCAATAGAGAAACACTAAAGAAAATAGCTTACCTCCTGGGCAAAAACAGATTTGGATGTGTTTCACATGTAAAATATTCCCAAAAAGAAAATGATGGCTTTATGAGCCATATATTTAAAAAAGATAGATCTCAGGGCCTAATACTTTCACCAGACTCTCTTTTCATCTGACCTGTCACTCTATCTATAAAAAGTGCTTACAGAGAGGATTGCAAATGCAGTAACAAACAGGAGACTAGTGTTGTTGGATTGTTTGACTTATGCCATTCTGTTAGTTGAAGGAAATGAATTAGGGAATTTTATTACAAGCTAGAAGAAACTGACTACAGTAGTAATAAGCTTATGACATTACATTTATGGGGAATAGATTGCAAAATAAGTCATCATCCATAAAAATTACATAAACGATTTGGAATTCTGTCAAGTTTGAAGTTAAAATTGAATGGCTCCTGGCAGCGATACTCTATTTTGCATCACCAGCTTTTACATAGAAAAATTTTTAATTGCCTACATATAGTAAAGATCCAAATTTTTAATTGCCTACATATAGTAAATATCCAAATTTTTAATTGCCTACATATAATAAATATCCAAAGCATGCAATGAATTATGTTTTCATGGACACTTTTCTTGCCTTGATAAATTCAAGATGGCCAATGTGATAAAATATGTAAAAACAATTTTATATTAAATAAAAATTATTCTGAGGCCACTTCTTAATTTTACTGACAAAGTTGTTCTTGGTCTTCCTTTATCTGATTTAAATCTGAAAAAAAATAATGCTATTTTATTTGAATTATTTGAATATAAATGATCCTTCTGAAAACTAAAGAAGATACCAAAATATTCATTGTTTGCGGGGTTATTTATATCTTATTGACGAACATGACACAGTTATTCCCATTGAGCCTCTTATTTTTTTTTTTAATGCAGATTTTTTGCATATCTTCTTTGAATATTTGTGGAGGGGGCAGGTAGCATATGTTGAAATACCTTTTTAATACTCAAAATCCTCTATCACCCACCAAAATTTCCAATTGGCCACCATTTTTGTTCAGTCGTTTCTCACTGACCCAACAGTTGAAATCACTCAGGTTGAGAAACTCTAGTCTAACTGAACCCTTATAAAGATAGAGCAAAGCAAAAGGAGTCAGTTACTTTCTGGCATGGTATAAGGAGCTGACCCTTTTTCCAGCAACTTTAGCAATTAAATTGGATTTTGATGAAAGAAATACTCTTCTAAAATTAAGAATATGCTTAATTTGATACAAAATCAAAATATTACTACTAATAACGCCCTGAGACTAATGGTTTGAATAGTTGCAATAAAATGTGACTAAAGATTAATATGATAAATATTATTTATTTTATTATTTCTTCTCTCTTAATCTGGTAAAAAATCAAAATCATCCTACTAATAATGACCAGAAACTAAGTTTGATTAGTCGCAATAAAAAGAGACTAAAGTTCAAAATAAAAGAAGTACAAGCCTAAAAGGAAAAATAATAATTAACTAATTACAACTAATTAATAATATTCAATAACTATTTTTTCTTCATATGTTTTAACACTTAATTCAAGCTTACATTTTTGATGTCAGACAAAATAAATATTTTAAAAAGTTTTATTCTGGTTTCTTTGATGTTGACAGTAGTAGAAAATCTTGAAAGAATTACAGTAATGTGACAAATTATCTGAAGCTAAACGAACACAATGCTTCATATGCTCTGTATGTAGATGGTTATTTGCAATGTGAGAAGCAGGCAAATGCAATCCTTATAATACTGTCAGCTGATGAATGTTCATGAGCTCAACATGTATTTAAAGATTTGCTTAAAGAAGCAGACAGTTTGCTGCCAGCAGCCATTGAGAGAAGCTATGATCTATGGTGGACCATGCTTTCCACAACTTATGGTGTTGAAATGAGTTACTTTCCTTTCTTTAATACATCCTATTCTGAATCCATGTTGCGTAAATGAGCTTGTGTTCCTTTGATGTTTACTTGTACAACACTAAATACTACTTTTTCAATCCGCCATTCTTGATTTTCCACACTTGTCATCAACATAAAAATTGCTTTGCTTCTCACTGCTTCAGCCTCATTTATCATACCAACACGACAGATGACTGACCAATTAGGGTTCTTCACTTTGTCCTCAGTTACCCAGTCAAATGGCATGCTCCATCAATCAGCACGTGACTTGCTATTGTTCGACCCATGCTAAGCTGTTCAAAAGCTACCATTACAGAATATACGCTTTTGGGATAATCTAAAGTGGGGTGGGGAAGGCTCATGCCATTTTCAAGGAACAAAATGCTGCTGCTATGTGTCATGTATTGAGGTAAGGAACTTATTTTTCTTTGCACCAGATGCAAGCCACTCTGACTCGCTTGCTTCTACGTAATTGTTCACCACAATCTATTTTATCTTTATAAAAAGAAAAGAGGAAATTATTGGCCTTGATTGGGGAGTTTGGGGCTGGGAGGACTAGAACAATGGCAGGCCGAGAAACACACAACTCTATTCAATCCTCTCCCCTCTGCATAAAAATATCTGTCCAAATTTTCACTGTGATTATCTTATTCTGAATCTATTTTATCTTCATAAAAAGAGTGCCAAAATTGATAGCCTAATTAATTTGCTAAACAATTCACAAATGCAAATCTCTGCTAGTCCTTTTATCACTGGATTCAAACTCTGTCAAACTTAATCTACCACAATTATTTTTTATCAAACTTATTGACTTAAAAATTCACGGTTTCATGTTGATCTCTCGTAGATCTCTTGCCAACTCATTTACAACAAATAGACTGACCTATAAGTGAACACTCACTAACATTGTTTATCATTTCAAGAAGAGCAATTAATATTTAAAAATGTTTTTTTAAAAACTATTGAATTTTTGTGTGTCACATGTGTAATTTTTTTTTTCCTTTTTTTTTTTCTTTTTCTTTCCCCTACCAAAAAAAAGATTCTCTTTTTCATATAAGTCGTGTACTTGAAGGAGGCTTAAAAATGAATCCATCAAAGAGTTATTTTCAGGAAAGACACTGCAATAACCATTCTGTTACAAAATAAAAATAATTTTTATTCACCCAGTGAAGGCTGAAGAATGAATCAATCAAAACATTATGAAATATTATTAGACCAAATATGTTTGAATATTAAAGAGCAAATGAAATTTTCATCATTTGCAGTTGAGCCGTAGCAATACTATGTCCGATGCTCTGGAATTGCAACAAGAGCAGCAATGATGCCTACCATGAATCCATTGTAAAAACTCGAAAAGTGGAATGGATAAATTCTAAACACTTCAGATGGATCAGTTATAACACATTTAATATATTTGGAAAGGAAGTTGAACACTGGAGAAAGTTATGAAAGGAATACTTATCTCCAACCCATGTTACAAAACCAAAATGTTTACCTGAAAACTTGAGTTATGTTCTTAAATAACCTTGTTAGATCTAGACACATATGAATGTTCTTCATGGCCATCCAACTTGTTCAGGAATGTCTAAACTATTATCTATATGCAACTGTTTTCTCGGATGAATGATTAAAAAACAAATGAATCCTTTGGGTCTTAAAGGAGACAACACTTCATCAGACCCCTGGCTCTACAAAATCACAAAGACCTTTACCAAATAGTGAAAATCACATCAATTGAACACTTCCAATAGCAACAACAACAAAAATTGATAGCATATATGACTAGACTAGCTTAAAAGCCACCCTATTGAGCAGCATTTAAGTTAGCTCCTGTGAAAAGCTCTTGATTGGACCTTCATCAAAATTGCTAGGGAGGAGTAGATACAATAGGCAACAATAAACTACAGAACTCAAAATTGATCTCTGCATTTAAGTATTGCATTAATATTTTACTTACTTACTTTTTAAAAATTCAATAATAATTCTGCTGCTGCCACTTAATTTAAAGACAATTTGTTGTACATAGATCCTTACTTTCCATACAAGTAATTATTTTTATTTCATGAGTGACTTTTGTTGGATTTCGCAATTAATTTTGATTATTACCAATTTATTTATTTCCAAGTTATAAAAATTTGTCGTAAAAAAAATCACCAAAAACAATCACAGTAATGAAAAATTAGGAATCCAGAATTTCAGGATTGCAGTTCTGGATTCATCTGGGAATGTTTTAATTTGCTCATGGAGTCGGCCTGACTTCAAAACAGTATAATATGCTGGCCTACGGCATCTAGGAATAAAGTTGAAGAAGTGTGACACAGTGACATTTACATTTATTATATAGAAGGTACAATAATGATGTTAGTATTCCCCACTACCTTAAACAAAAGGTTGGGAAGGAAATTCCCATCAGTATTAGAAAGTACAATGAGAGTTAAGTCATTAACTTAGAAGTCTAATTTCTTGAAAAACTGTTTTAAGATTATATAAATTTCAACCGACAATAACGCTAACTGCTTGGTCAATGAATGCTTAATAATTCCTGTAGGAAATTGCTAATCTCATCTGTACAATTACCATTTGCATAAATTGTTATCTCTTGTATTAGTTAACCTTTGATTTTTGGCTAAGAAATCATTTGTGATTAAATTTTCTCTTATTTTGTAAGAAATCATTAATTCAAGGTATGCTTTCTATATAGGTTGATCCTAGATTCTCAGGGTAATGGAACAACAGATTAGAATTGTAGTTAGCATATATTTCATGGTCTAACTCCTTTCCTATAAATTAAATGTTGACGAGAACAAACCTGAAAAATTGAGGGCAAATGCTTACAATATATTCTTCCATCATTTATTTTTATCTGGTTATCTTTTAGAAGTGACTTATTAATTTCTTTCTTCTCAACAAGAATTATGTTAACATCTCCCATGTCAGGGAAAACTGTCAGGCCAGTTCCTTGATAATAATGTCCAGCTTTCTTCCAATTTTATTTATTAACATAGATATTAAAAAGAGAATCCTTGTCGGTTGAATTTAATAAATAGTTTTTTAATCATTTTACCCCAAGCAAGGCTTGCCTCTAAGAAACAAGAGGTTACTGAGTGTGAAAGAATATGCGAAAAAAATCATTAATAAGCAGAGAGAGCAATAAAAGAACAGAAATTAAGAAGTGTTATAAACCTTACATACTAACGGGTACGTCCCAATCCTTATAAATATGTTGGACACTATTGTAAGTGGAGGTAATATGCTGTCTATGTAGTCCACCACTAGCAGTGGTCTGCCTACTTCACGCCACTGGTGAGTATAGTATTTTGTTGATGTTATAAAGATTACCATTTCATTTCCAACCTCTGTTTTGGTTATTCCTTGCTCAGTAAGATTTCATAGGTTGCAATAAGAAGATAGAAGATAACAATTGAAATTGTATTTCAGTTTTTGAAGATCAAAGTTGACTGGGAAGCACAAAGCCAGGAAAGTTCCACAAGCGAGAAGTGCACAAGAAGAAACTTTTACCATAGAACTTACTGTTACATCCATTTCAACTGTAAAATGATGAGACCTAGCTGCCAATCTAGTACTGTACTTAAGGTACCAAAGAGTAATGTCCATTAGAACAATTACCATGAAAATATTTATGTAAAAAGGAACAGGGATGCTGTATTCCAACCATTGGAAAGTGACTAAAACCAGGATGACATGTCAGGACTGATAACATTGCAGATTCTTTTTTGGATTTTATCAAGAATCTCTAAATATATAGCAGAAGCATCAGACTATATGTGACAACAATATTCAAGGCATGGACAAATGGTCAACATATGTGTAAGATAGATTCTGGCAAGAAAAATTGTTTTGCATATCACATAAAACCAACTTTCCTAGCAGTAGGTCAAGCAGTTGATTGTATATAATCTTTCCACTTTATGTCAGGAGAAAAATGTTAGCCTGAGAAGGCACAATGAATCACTCTCTCTTGGAGGTTAGCATCAGCCATGCTGATGGAGGGCAAAAAAAGGTCCTCTAAAATGAATAAAAGAGAGCAATTTCATTTGATATATATTTTTCTTATGATAACCTGATACTTACTCACTTCAAGTTTAACTTAGGATGTATTATGGAGTTAACAAGAGAATCTGGCCCTTGAACCTGTGGAATATAACCAGATGCAATATACTCTTTGCAAATACCAAATAATATAACAGTTGAAAGATTGGGTTAAAATAAAGATACTGTAAGATATCTCTGTTCACTGAAAATTATATAAGAAAAAATTTCAATTTCTTCCACAGGAGAGATTTTCACAAAAATATTATTTTTTTTTTTTTTTTTTTTTTTTAATTGTTTAATATTTTTAGATTTAAGGCTAAATGTTGCTCCAAGCCCTTCCTAAGTATTTCAGATTAACAACACTAATGCTAGTTCATAGGTTGTTCCATAATTATTGGCCTAAAAACATGAACCTATGCACAAGTCTGATTCACTCTTAAAATCAATGACACCAAATGAAATAAATGTCTACTGTGATTTCAGAATGCCAATTGCATTTCCAAACCCTCTGTCGAACAGACACACAGAAGAATCAGAATATGACTCAGCAACCTCAGCTGCCCTTAGTCGATATAAATATTATAAACACTTGGAGAAGTATTCTGCATCTAATAATGGTAAACCTGCTGCTGAACCGGTCCTTGTGAGTATCTATTATTTTGACTAAAAAAAAAAAAAAAGCATTCACACATATAATGATGTGATCTATGAGCTTATTTACATAAAGGTGATCTATGATCTTATTTACATAATGATCATCTATGAGATTTTTTGAAAATAAACTAAAATTATTTACATGCTCTTACATATTAGTAATATTTTATTATATATATATATATATATATATACCTAATGATTGCATGCATTAGTGTCTAAGAAACTAAGAGTTTTGATCATGATTATTTATAATTGTTATTCTGATGTTTTGAGAGGTTGTTTTTTGTTTTTGTTTTTCTCCTTTCTAGGAATAAGGTGATGTTTTGCAATTCCATGCTTTGCGAAGTCTACTTTCCCCATTCGGTGATTATATGTACTCACCAGCTATTTTTATTATAGCATTATGAATCGGCCAATATGTTATAAATATCCATATTACCTATATATATATATATATATATATATATATATATATATATATATATATATATATATATAATTGGTATATACGGAATGAATTCCAATAACCAACAATTACTATTCTTAAGAGTGCTCAATACAAAAGTAGAGCAGATATAATTATTTTTTATAAAAAAAAAAAAAAAATTATAACACACAAACTACAGTTCAAAAGGTTTGAAGCCATCCCCAGAATTAGCATGGGATAAACTTGACAAAAAATTTAAATACAAACATACAAACTGTGGCGGACATGAGACAGAACCTGGGACGAGCACAACTGGTCGCGACTTGCCTTGTCCCCCGCCAAAAAGAGCCCGTGTTTGCTTAGCATGTAAAGCTACTGCAGTTGAAATGAGGGAGAAAAAAAAGCACTTACCGCTCTGACGTAATCCATCCTCGGCCAGATAACATAAAAGAATGAGGGGGGACTGGCATCGCATTTTTATCCAATAACGATGCAATGCATTATGGGACATGGACGCAAAGCATTATGGGACATGGACGCAATGAATTATGGGATCACAGGAAGACGCAAAAGATTATGGGTACATGAACAACTATAAAAACAACTACTTTTTTCCAAGTCGGCGAGTTCTTCGAGGGACGTTCACGGTTGACGGCTAGAACGGGCAGTTAGTGTGATTTGGAGACAGAACTCAGGAAGGAACGACTCAAGTTTGAAATACCAGTTGGGAGAGCTTGAATTTACTCGCTGGTTACTGTTTTCTTCATTAAGCCTCAAGCTATTTCGGCATATTGATTCTTCAAAATGGAAGGCAAAGTCTTTGACGTCTGTTTGATTCCAGAATTCAGCGGCGCCCAACGGATATGCCCATTGTTGAATGGATAGAAAATGTGGAATTGGTCTGCGAACTTTGTGCCATGGACAAGATCGAAAGCATCTTGCCTTTTACGACTTCGGCGGTGCCCTCGCTGTATATAGACAACTCAGTGGAGAGCAGAGGGCAGACGCGAACAAATTAAACGGGCCCTTATGACTGCATACACGCGACTGACAAATTTAATGCGTTCGACCAATTTATGGGACGGCGTCTTAAGCCCAGGGGAAACTGTGGATGAATTCCTGGCTGAAATGCATCGTTTAAGCGCGGCTAGTAGGAGAACCGCTACCTGATCGGTGGATGGCATGTGCATTTGTGTCAGGACTGCCACATCATGTTAGGGCAGCTTCTCAAAGCTTCTTCCAGGATGGACGACATGAATCTAGAACAGATTCTGACCCGAGCAAGGGCTATTATGATGGATGACGAAGGGTGCCAGGTATTGGCCGCCACATCCGTGAGAGCCAACGCGCCAGAAGCTGAGGTTCCCCTGCCAAACCTGTTAGCAGAACGATTACCTGCTACAAGTGCTCTGGACCCAACCATATGGCGAAGAATTGTACACAAGGACGTCAGGAGAGGTCAAACAGAACGCAGAGGTCTGGTCGCGACCAGCGGTGTTTTCGATGCAACGGCATCGGACACATTTCCTCAGAATGCCAGGGAAACGCCCAAGGGGAGAAAGGCGTCAGCGCCAGCCTTCTCCCGAACAAGTAAAAACCGGAAGCTACCCACCGTACAAGTATTTGTAGATGGAGTAGAGTGCACAGCTCTAGTGGATTCGGGATGCTCACAGACTCTGGTGAGCAAGACTGTGTGTCGCTGCTGGAAGCAGGAAGAGGTGGGAGTGTTGACTGCCGGCGGGAAGACCCTGAAGTGCCGTGGATACGGTAAAATTAAGTTACGCGTCGAGCATATTCAGCCCGTGACTGTTGAGGTTCTGGTTGTGGAAGGGCAGTTGCTAGGATTCGATCTTCTTCTCGGGATTGATGCAATCAAAGTGCTCGGAGGTGTTTACTTGACCGAATCAGGCGAAGCTCGTTTGAAACCTGAACACATGTGCCGCCATTGTTATCAACAAGCCTGACTTTAGAGTGACGTTTAACCCGAGCACAAAAACGTGGACTGCATTGTGGAAGTGGGCGAGTGGTTATTCACCTAGCAAGTTGGTTAATAAAGTACAGGAGTACACAGTACCTGGCCACGTCCGGGATGCATACGATGAAGAACTAGCACGGTGGCAGCGAGACGGATGGCTACTGCCATATCCTGAGAAAGAGCTTGGCCCACCCAAGGGATTAATTCCCTTAATGGCGGTCGTACAAGAACACAAACAGAAGGTCCGACCGGTACTTGACTATCGGGAGTTGAACGGCTTTGTAGACGCATTCACGGCTGGCGAGAGGTGTGTGCGCAGAAATTACGAGAATGGCGGCGACAAGGAGCTGACGACGCTGTTGGATTTGAGAAATGCGTACCTACAGATTCACATTGACAAATCGCTATGGCCGTTTCAAACAGTGGTCATTAAGGGCAAGCGTTTTTTGCCTTTACGCGTTTGGGTTTTGGCCTGAATGTGGCACCTCTTGTCATGAAGTCAGTGATCGACATGATAACGTCCCAGGATCAGGACATTAAGAGTGCCACGTCGGCATACGTCGGCGATATCTTCATAAATGAAGGCCTAGTTTCTGCAGCGCGTGTAAGACAGCACTTTGCAGATTACGGGCTAGTCTGTAAAGATCCGGGCGATTGAGAGACGGAACTAAGGTCCTGGGTCTGCAAGTCTGGGAAGAAAGCAACTCCCTTCGATGGAAGCGGGGAGGTCAAGTTCCAGAAATTGCTCAAAGGTGACCCTTGAAGCGTATTTTTCCTTGTGCGGGAAACTTGTGGGTCATTTCCTGTGTGCAGTTGGCTTAGGTGGCAACTGCATTTATTAAGCGCTATGCAAGCACACTAACCAAAGGATGGGACGACGAGATAAAGGATGCCCCTCTTGGACGTATGCTGGAGTGGCCAGAGTGCGGAATCAGATCCTGTCGGGAGGAGACTGGTGTGAACGGCAATGAAATGACAGTTTGGGTGGATGCAAGCCCGTGGCCACGGGAGTAGCACTAGAGGTGAATGGGAGCGTCGTGGAAGATGCTTGCTGGTTGCGTCCAACCAATGATGCCAAACACATTAATCTTGCTGAGCTTGATGCGGTGATCAAGGGCGTGAATCTTGCCCTGCAGTGGCAGGCACCAGTTATGCATGTGGTCACCCGATTCAGCATGTGCATCGGTGGGTGTCTGACACCCTGACAGGAAGGACGCGCGTGAACACGAAGGCAGCGGGTGAAATGCTGATGAGGCGGCGCTTAGAGACACTGCGAGCTTTGGTGGAGGAGTACGCACTGACTATGACTGTGACGTTGGTGAAATCTTGTCAGAACCGCGCTGACAGCCTCACCAGAGTGCCGCAACGCTGGTTGGAGATGCACAAGAAAGGAGGAGAACCGGTGCAAGTGAGTTGTGTCACTGCAACGAGCCAGTTGAGCAAACGTCAGGTGACCCACATCCACCAGCAGAGTGGGCACCCAGGTGTTAAAAGAACAATGTACTTTGCTAGGACTGTAGATCCAACGGTGTCTAAAGAACTGGTAAAATCTGTCGTTAGAACCTGTGAAGCCTGCCAATCGATCGATCCAGCACCAGTGCATTGGAAGAAAGGAAATTTGAGTGTGAGAAAAAACTGGAGCAGGTTAGCAATGGACGTAACCCATTGCAATGGTAGCCATTTTCTTACGCTCATTGACTGTGGTCCCTCCCGTTTTGCAGTATGGCGGCCACTGAGACGGCAAGACTCTGCTGGTGTCATTCGTCAGCTAGAGACAGTCTTCTCTGAACGAGGCCCGCCGACCGAAATACTGACTGACAATGACACCACGTTCACTTGCAGACAATTTAGGGAATTTGTAAACAGCTGGGGCGTGCATTTGAGGTTCGGTGCGCTTACGTGCCGTCTGGAAATGGCATTGTGGAACGCAACCACAGAAGCGTCAAAACCATAGCGCCCAGGAAAAATTGTTCAGTCTTGAAGCGGTTTACTGGCATAACGTCACCCCTAAGGACAACCTTTCACCTTCCACGGCACGGGCTGATGTACTGCACACATACCACGTCCGGGTGAGAGGCATCGACGCGACGCCCCCGCCTGAATCACAAATAACCAAGGGGAATACAAGGAAGGGACATTGTCTGGGTTAAGACTCCACGTGGTAAATGCACGACCAAATTTGGAACCGGACGTGTGACCGAGGTGGTGAGTCAGCAGTCAGTGCGGGTCGATGGAACGCCTCGTCATGTTAGAGACCTCGCCCTTTTTGGGCTCGAATCCCACAACTGACGAAGAAGACACGGAGGATAGTGAACAGCCAATATACATAGAGTTGGATTCAACAACCAATCACTCCGATAGCGGTAGTTTGCCAATAGATCGGGACGTGTCTAATGAGAGCTCCTCTGATGAAGAAGTTCAACCAATCCCCCCTTCGGAGGAGCACCGGAACAAAAGACCGTATCCTCACTGTTATCTGTGTGATCCGGAGATCAGGGGGAGTGTGGCGGACATGAGACAGAACCTGGGACGAGCACAACTGGTCGCGACTTGCCTTGTCCCCGCCAAAAAGAGCCCGTATTTGCTTAGCATGTAAAGCTACTGCAGTTGAAATGAGGGAGAAAAAAAAGCACTTACCGCTCTGACGTAATCCATCCTCGGCCAGATAACATAAAAGAATGAGGGGACTGGCATCGCATTTTTATCCAATAACGATGCAATGCATTATGGGACATGGACGCAATGCATTATGGGACATGGACGCAATGAATTATGGGATCACAGGAAGACGCAAGGGATTATGGGTACATGAACAACTATAAAAACAACTACTTTTTTCCAAGTCGGCGAGTTCTTCGAGGGACGTTCACGGTTGACGGCTAGAACGGGCAGTTAGTGTGATTTGGAGACAGAACTCAGGAAGGAACGACTCAAGTTTGAAATACCAGTTGGGAGAGCTTGAATTTACTCGCTGGTTACTGTTTTCTTCATTCGCCTCACAAACACAAGAAAAATTAAATGAAAAGTTTGAGCACAGAACCTTGTCAGTCTTAATTAATGAAACTTATATCTTTTAATTTTTTAATCTCCTTTATTATGGTTAACTCATTTCTTGCTCACTTTATATGATGCCTAATGTTGCCATAACAACAGATATTCTCATTACTCACTCATTAATGAGATCATGCTGTTAATAATTACCCAACAATGGGAAAGTCTATTGTTATGGACTGAGAAATAAGATATTATTTAATACTATATACACAGAGGAGGCTCAGTGGAGTAAGGGATAGCGGCTTGGATTGAGGAATCGGAGAGCCGAGTTTGAATTCCAGTCAAATCCATTACATTCACTTACATGCTAATATCCTTGAGAAAGGTATGAATCCTCTTCTTCTCTCCCCCCCCCAGCTATGGGTAAATAGCAGGGCAGACCAGGTTCTATAGCCTTGAATGGCAACTGGTCTACCACAGAAAGAAATGGCAACCTACTTCAGGAAAAAAATCTGCCGTATCAGTCATGTCTCGAAAGATACATCATCACCTAAGCGTGTATTACGCATGCACATGACTGATACACTTGCTTTACAGTTTCTTATTTGGATCAGAAGCATAGCTAATTCCTTCTGACATTTTTTAGTGTAACTGTAGTGTTCTTTCAAAGAAATTCACCTAATCTCGATATGTGGTTGCAAAGGTTACATTGTTGTATGGGTTTTAATAAATGACCTATTTGGCTTAACATGGTCTAAGAGAATTTGACCTTAGAAGTTGAAACAAAAACCAATTAGATAAAGAAAACTATTCTAAAATTAATAATGAAACAATGACAAATATACCGACAAAAAAAGTGTGTCAAAAGGACTTTTTTTTTCTCTTGACATCACAATTACTTTCTATTTCCTTGGTGATCTTTTATTGATTTAAAAAGATATCTCTTAGAATTATTAATAAAACTCTAATATATGAAAAGTGAATTTATACATGCAATTTTTACTTTTCATAAAGCAGGAACTTTGAAGTGATCTGAGATGCAAAATAATTTGCAAATAAAATATATAATGTCCAGGTTACTGAATAGAATAATCAAACGAAAGTTGGTAATGAACGATAATACTTAGGACAAGAACAACACATATAAGATACACCAGCGGCATGTAGAAGTAGTAGTCAACTGCTAGAAGTTAATCAAATCAATTCTACAATGAATCTCAAACTCCAACTACCCCACATGGTCAGATGTGGCACAATGCCAAATTTAATGTGGGGTATCTGAGCCCATAGGCTTGGCCAAAAATTCCCCATGAACCCCATATAAAATGGGTCCTGGTAGCTGTTCCCTGATATGAAACTCTGCCCTTCATCTAGGGATCCAGAGGTAGAGAGTTTGACCAGCACAGCTGGAGACGAATCTCCAACTGCAGACCAACATACACTATTTATAACTGTATTTATGTGAATGTGGACCTACCCATTATCGTCCGAAGGTATGCTATGACATTTCTTTATAGGATAGTAAATAATATTGCATTCACATATTTTTATAAGCATGTAAATATAAAATTATTCTTGTAAATAAATAAATGGGGTGTCTACTCAAATATGAGTATCCTCTAAAAATAATGTTTAAGTGCTAAAATCTTTTGGATTAATAAATAAAAAATCTATCACTACTTAGAAATTGGTTTGTTTACATTAGGATATCAAACTGAGCAGATATAAATGTTTCAAGAATCTTTGAAGAAATTTGCACTTATAAGGCACTATTTGGCTTTGCTCAATCGGTGAAACTCTTTGTGGCCAAGTTGGCTCTAATGACGGTTTCTCCTGCTAAGGGGGACACAGGTCTGAATACTGCCAGAGGGTGCAGCTTTTTTTAATAAGATTTATCAAATATTCAAACAAAAATAAATTATACTATTAATTCTGCTCAAATATAGGTATCTACAAAAAATAAGGTTTAAGTGATAAAATCTGTTGGATTAATAAATAAAAAATGTATTACTTTTTTTTTAAATTGTCTTAAATAAGCTAATAAATAAATAGTTTTTACCATTTTTTTTCTCATTTCTCAAGAACAAAATTTATAAATCCAATTTTCGTATGTTTGAGTTTTATTAAAATTCTAATCTTCTTAAAACGATAAAAAATTGCTTCAGGAGTATGCAGTAATAGCAGAATTAAGAGATCTTTTTGATACAACTTTTTTTTTTTTCTCTACAGTTGTGAAACTTTGCCAAAACATTATTGTCTCAGAGCTCAAATAACTTAAAACTATTGCTACAACTGTACAAATGTGTAGAGAAGTAGCAATCTGAATCTTGATTAAGCTTTCATTTTCAAATTTGTTAAAGCCATATCCCTGTAAGACAAGCTTCCAGGATATAGCTTCAAGTTCACATTTTGTTGAAAACTACTTCTTTATTCCAACTTTTAGAACTTTAATTGTTGAAGGTCATTTGACCTTGAAAGCTGTGACGAAATGATTAAAAAGAGATTTGTCAGAGAGAAATTTCAGCATTCAAATAATTCATGATTTTAAAAAACAAGAAATGTCTTCTTATTTTTCAGGTAATGCCTGACCATATGTTGCCATCTCGGTTTCTGACAATACTCACTTTCCCTAAGAAGATAACAGGAAAACAGAAAAGTATTATTACCATGTAAGTAAGAAAACTGGGTGAACACAGTTCTTAGAAGTATTCTTTTGTATCTCCTGCAACCACAAGTGGATGTGTGGGGAGGGTAAAGAATAGCAGATGACAATATCAGAGAAGCCAACTTCAAATGCCAGTTAAATTTGTTACATTCAATTTGCACAAATATCCTTGGGGAAAAATATGAATCTATCTTCCCCCTTATTATGGGTTAAATATTAGGACTTGTATCTGGAAAAAATTATTATCCTATTGTCCAGTTCACAACCTTCCCTGATCTTTTGAACAGGAATAGAAGTTTATCCCTTGTTCCCTGTTTAGGATTGGGTTTCCTGTTCCTTTTCAAGTCTTTTCATTCTCTTTCACTCTCAATAGCCTCTTGCATCTTAGTGGCATTATTACCTTGCTTGAGGTGGAATGATTTTAAAAAAAAAAAAAAAATCTCCAAAAAAATTGTTAATGCCATATTCACTCACAAAGAAAGAATTATTCTTACAATCTCCTGCTGGCTAGTGAACTTTCTCTTGAATCTCCAGATTATTCTTACATGTGTCTCAGTCTCTCTGTACTAGACTCCATCAGCTATCTCTTCTTTGTCTACCATTCCCCTTGTTCTCATGACTGTTGCATGCTAGATAGTATTTCTAATAATACAGACAAGGCCATTTCCTTACACCTGTTTTCAAATATATTTGTATTCAGTGACTTTAATGCACACCATACCAGGTAGCTTAAACACTTTGTCACTGACCCTGCTGATATCCAAATCCTCTCAATCTCTCAGGTAAGTGGTGGACTTCCTTACGCATTTCCCCAATAACCCTGATGGACACGTTTCTCTTCTAGATCTCTTTTTTTTTTTTGTTTTCTTCTTTTTTTTTTACCTCTATCCCTGACTCATGTCATACTATGCAGCTCTGCCCTCTTGGCAACTCTGATCCTTCAGTAGTGTCTGTAAAAGAACCAAGAACTTCCTACCAACAGAATATCTTTCTGTTATCAACAAGCGGACTCATACTTGTTCTGTGATTTCCTTTGTGACATCCCTTGGAATGAAGTTTTTTAAAAAAATTGTTCAAAAATGCACATCTGAGGTCTCTTCCTGGGTGAAAGCCAGCATTGATGCTTTCATTCCAGAAAGGAAATAACAAGTTAAATCTCCTTTGTTTTCACCTGCATGCTTGGCCACTATAGCCCATAGAAGTCACTTCTGGCTGTACCAAAGTGACACATCTGATTGCAACAGACGTCTTTTTTTTCTTTGCTCATAATGAGTGCAAGCATGCCCCCCCCCCCTAAGAAGGGAAGTTACTGTTTGCTGATAGGCTGAAATGTATAGCATCTTGCTAGTTTGGTTCTAGAGACCATTGGCAGCTCTGCAAGAGTGCTGAACAACAGCAAATCCTCAATCCCTTCTCACTTGTTAGAAGTCCTCTTCTGTAGTTCCTGTTTTTAAGAACTCTGAAGAACCTTCTGACCCTTCTATTAGTCTCCTACCACTTTACAGCAAAGTATTCAAGACTTTAATTAGTGCTGAAGTGGTTAAGCATCTCACCTCTCACAAACTACTCTCTGACAAACAATATCACTTCTATTTTGCTAGGTCTACTGCTGATGTGATAACAGCCATCACTGAATATATATAACAAGCTCTTGATAATAACAGTGAAATTCAAGTTGTGGCTCTTGATATCTTGAAGATGTTTGATAAAGTTTGGCACGCTGGTCTTACACGTAATCTCCAGGGCTAAGGTTTTTTTTGTTGGTTTTTTTAAGTATTTCACCCCAAGCAAAGCAGGAGTGCCTCTAGCATGGAATGGGTTACTGAGAGTAAGAGTAAAGAGGAGTGTTTGTGGAAAGGATATAGAGAAGGACAGGAATCAAGATCAAAGAATTAGAAGATGTTGATTGACATTTGAAGATTAGAGCTATCAGGGAAGTAAGTAAGAGGAAGGGAGTTTCACTGTCAGGAAGAGTGAGAGAAGAAGCAGTTGGAGTAAAAGAGACAGCTACATTTGCTCTTTCGACAGTGAAAGGGTGGGACCGGGATGCCAACCTAGTAGCATGCTTAAATGAGAGCAGTTTCATTTTGGAGACATTAAAATTTAAAAGCCATTTCCTGTCTAGTTAACTAGAGGTTCTTTTCGAGACCAATGGCCAGGTTAACTTTGTTAGCAATGCCAGATTTTACCTACTTGAGAACTGTCGACTTCAGGAAGATCGTTGATGAAGATCAGAAACAGTAAAATCGTCCTGTAATACCATTTTCCTGTAGCTTACATAGAATGCTGGCAAGCCAAACCCTATCAAACGCTGTAGAGATATCTAAAGCCACAGCTCAAGCTTTTCTGTTGTCAAGTTTTTGGTATACAAATCAGTTATGGCCGTGAGCATGTAAGCAGTAGACCAGGCAAAGTGGAAACCATATTGTTTGTCAGAGAGTAGATCATGAGAGGTAAGGTGCTTAACCACTTCAGCATTGATTAAAACCTTGAAGACTTTGCTGAAGAGACTAATAGGATGGTAGTTAGAAGGGTCTCCAGAATTCTTAAAAAGCGGGACAACAAAAGAGATTCTTCAAATCCAATTGTTCGTATCAAATTGTGAAATGAAAGTTGTTTTGTACAGGCTTGCTTACAGATCCTTTCACACAAATGTGCGTGTTCCCCAAGTGTCTGTCCTGGGTCCTACATTGTTTCTGATCTTCATCAACGAACTCTACCATTTACTCATGTCTCGATAGCAAAACCATCAGAGCTGACAAAGTTCACCTGGCTGCTGCTCTTGAAAAGGAGGACTTCCAATCATTGGTTAACTGGGCCAGGAGATGTAAATTTTAATTCCTCTGAAATGAAACTGCTCCCATAGGAAAATTTTCCTGCCCGCCATCAGCATGGCCAATGCTAGACTCCTGGAGAGTAACACACTGCGCCTTCTTGGCCTCACATATTCATCTTTAATTAATCATAGCTCAGGATCAGGCGCTCAGGAAATATTGAAATAAAGTTCATATTATACCAGGATCATTTTCCAACTTAGGTCAAGAAGGTCATCTTGAATAGGTTGGAAAATGATCCTGGAATATATATATATATATATATATATATGAAGAAATATAGTCTTAAGGTGTGCTATATATATGGGATAAAGTGCTCAATATCAGAGATAGAGCGTGTGTAAATATAAAAGTGAACATAGAAGTCAACACTTAGAGGTGACAGTCTGTTTCATGCTAGACGCAATCATTTTCCAACTTATTCAAGATGACCTTCGCCCTCTCTAATCTTCTAACTTTCTGTCCTGGAGTAACATGGTGCCTCACAGGTTTCATGTATGATTTCATTTTCAAGTCTTTTTTCACTGCTCTTTGCACTGTCATAGCTGAAACTCCTCTGTCACATGCCAAACTTATGAATTGAGTTGGATCTTTTCTAATTGATCTCCTTAATGCTAAGTTGAAATGATGATCCCTCTTTCTGTTGTGACCATATCCAGTTTTCCTCTCTACTGTTCCCTCTTTTTTAAAGTTATTTACCATTCTCTTGATTCTTGAATGAACGTTGAAGATGGAAGCCAGAGTATTAATGTTGGTACCATTATTTAAGGCCTGGATGATCTTTCTCCTCTCAACATTGCTCACTTGGGAAGTCAGTGGGTCTAACACAAAACAATTTTAACCTGTTCTCTTTTGAGCTGAATAACTTAAAGGATTTTTCAGTAATTCTTACGACAAATGGTATCAAGATGGCTAAACGTCTTATCTGGAAACCTGGAAAAAAAGAACGGCAATTAGTTTAGAGTCTTTTTAGATATTGAACATTTTGTGAGATGGAAAAATATGCTGTAACACAATTTGAACAATTTTGCTGTTAGACCCAGTATGTTCACCAAACACAAGTTTTAGTGGGATATGTTTGGCAGCAGTACCGTAAGTGGTGTACAGTAATTGTTAAAAGCATTTTATACCTGCCATATAAGTTGACCCCTAGTTTAAGAAATTGAGTTGTATGCTGCAATTTACAGTGTGTGTGTGTGTGTGTGTGTGTATATATATATATATGAGTTATTTGTGTGTGTTTTTTCCCTTCTATTTATCTGTTTATTTTGAATAGATTTTTTTTTTTAACAATTCTTGTATAAAATATGGACTGCCATTGCTTATACTGCTGAATAGAGCATGGGTTCAAGGCACCTGTATATCACAAGCCAACATTCATCAAACAATACCTCAACTTCAACTCCCTCCACCCATACGGTGTAAAGATAGGGACTGTCCATTGCTTACAACATTGAGAAAAAGTCATAAGTGGTGATACCTTGTTGGCATAGGATACCTTGTTGTCTGAATGGCTACCTGAGTTAAACGATGCTTCAGTCAGTGTTTATGCTTAGTGTATCAGCTGTTTGATGCGATGTGTGTTGTAGTGTTAATAGAAGAGTAAATTTGTGTTACTATTTTATTATTTTATATTAATTTCTGTTAATATGCCAAATATGTTTACCAAACACAAGTTTTTTTAGTGGGTTGTATTTGTGGCAGCCTGCTAGAGGTACAGTAAGTGGTGTACAGTAACCGTTAGGAGTACTGTCACACTTGTTTAAAACTTGATGCTAAAGGCTTGCAGTTTATACCTGGCATATAACTTGACACCTAGTTTAGGAAATATTTTTTAGGCTTGGAAACTCAAGTTGTATGCCACAATTTACAGTGTGTGTGTGTGTGTGTGTGTGTGTATGTGTATATATGCATGTGTTTTTTCCCTCATATTTATATCTGTTTATTTTGAATACATTTTTTTTTTTTTTAACAACAATCCTTGTATAAAATATGGGCTGCCAGTTACTGTACACCACTTACTATACCAAGCCAACATTCATCAAATAATACCTCAACTCACACCACCCATACAATGTAAATTGTTAGCAGTGCTGTCCCACTTGTTTACAAATTGGTGGTAAAGGTTTGCATTTTATACGCACCATATAAGTCGATCCTTAGTTCTCGAAAGACATTTTTTAGGCTTGAAAATTCAATTTCTACATTCTTTAATGAATCGTATTTATACCATGATCTGTTTGCTGTTTTTGACTTATTTATATTTACAAAATATTTTACAGATTTGCCTTGTGGAACACGATGATGGGGACAGCACTTCTAAGTATGCCTTGGGCAATTAGAAAGGTAAATAAAATTCTTTTCCATACTGTTCCTATTATTTTAAGACTTGTTCATATGTGCTTTTTTATTTATGAAATATTTATTGGGCAGTTTAATCCTTCATCATTACATCTACCTAGGTCAATCCATTTCCATGGACTCCACTTCAAAAGAACAACAAAATTATTTTTACCCAATTGATTTTTGTTAACATACACTTGTGTACCAAATACAAATGGTGGCATGGTCATTTCTTTCATTGGCCTCCCCCAGAACAAAACACGGTGCTTATTTGGTATGGCATGCTTACAAATTAAACTTCATTCTTTCTGATTCAATGATATATATAAGATTCTATCAATAAAAACATTATTATTGTCTCAATTTCTGAAATGAGGAGTTATCATTATTTATATTCAGACTATTGTCCTCATCTTTGTTGTTGTTATCAGTGTTTCAGCCATTAACAAGCCAACACTTTAATCCACTAGTCTATTGTCCCATATGACAATTTTCTGTAGTGAACTTGAAGTCTTAATTTGGTGACATAGTAATTGTGAATTCAATCCCTGGGCTGGGCAGTGTGTACTTGGACTCAGTGGAAACAGGTTAGCAATAGCTGAGCAGTACTAAAAATAATAACTAGATGAACTATCCTTAGATATGGGCTGTAGAACAAGAACAGTCTATTCTTGTAGATTGAATAAAGGGTTCAGTTCAGAATTCCTATGGAAATTGTTTTGTAAGCAATTACCATTTAAGGAACATAAAGAACAAATGTCCCTTAAACGGTAATTGCTTACAAAATAATGTAACATACCAAGTAAAATCATCATATTACAAAGAAAAAATATACATAGGAGCAACTGAAGGACTCTGGAAATGAAACTATGCACACAAAACATTTTTCACAAATAGTAAATATGCGAACAGCACAATGCTTTCTAAGTATAACTGGGAAATTAAAAACAAAAAGCAAATCACACCAAAAATATAATTGAAAATAAGGAAAAGAACATCAGCCTACAATAATCAATCCAAAAACTGCAAACTCTGCTTGGAGGAAAAAAATAGCTATAATTACCTTTCCAGACCTAAACAAACTACTAAATAAACAATCAGAACTCATCTCAAAATGTAGATACGAAAACAAATTTTTACTACGCCACTTAAAAACTGAAGAAAATAAATAAGGATAAATAAAATAAAAATAAATAAACAAAAACAAGTAAAATAAACTAATCCAAATAAATAAAGTAAATAATAAACAAATTAACAAACCACTCACAACAAAATAACCATTAGAATAGACTATTTACAATGCATCACTGACCAGTATATATATAAATAGTCCAGAAAAAACAACGCATGATCATTGCATTTAGCATGAAACAGTCTGTCGCCTTTGAGTCTTGATGTCAATGTTCGCTTTTTATATATATATATATATATATATATATATAGGATTTAATGTAACGCTGACAAAAACACTTTGCTTTTGTTGTTTACCTTGATAAAGTCAGAAGACAAAATGTATCAGCAAGAACTAAGATTTTTTTTCCAATTGTCATTTTATAACAATTTGTCTTATCTCCAGAATTAATCTGGGAAATTTAACTCTCTCTCTCTCTCTCTCTATATATATATATATATATATATATATATATATATATATATATATATAATATAATTTTTTTTTTTTTCTAAAGTAAATAATATATTTTTATTAATCCAACAGTTTTCATCAGTTTGAATGTTATTTTTTCTTTAATATTTCTCCAACATTCAGGCCAGTAGATAAAAAATAAATAAATAAACTGAACGTCTACTCAAATATGAGTATCTACTAGAAATAACATTTAAAGTGATAAAAATCTGTCAGACTAATAAAACTCCATTACTTTCTTTAAAAAATCCACTTTGTTTACATCTGGATACAAAACTGTGCAGTTATGAAAAATCTTGGTACAATTTTGGCCTTACCTGACCAGATGGTTTTTTTGTTCAGTTGGTCAGAGTGTATCAGATCTGACGGTAGCTCCCTCTACCCAAAAGGAACATAGGTTCAAATCCTGCCAGAGAGCATAAATTTTTCTTTAATAAGATTTCTTAAACATTTAGGCTGGTAGACGAAAATAAATAAATATACTGCTTAATAAATAAATGGAGTATCTACTTGAACATCTTGAGGTTCCCGATAAAATCTGAAAACGGATATGCAATGTGATAGGTCCTGACCTGGCACCTTGTCTGCAGTCCCTTTCTCACAGATGTGATGTGACTTCCCTCTCTCTTTTCTACAAATATTTTCATGGCAACTGCTCTGAGCATCTTCTTTTACTGGTACCCAAACTGCATGAATTTAAGCATGTTACTAGGTTGACATCTTGCTTCCACCCTTTCACTGTCAAAACAGTTAAATGTAACTGCCTCTTCTACTCCAACAGCTTCTTTTCTCACTCTTCCTGACAATGGAACTCCCTTCCTCTTACTTACTTCCCTGATAGCTATAATCTTCATTGTTGGCATCTTGGTCCCACACTTCCTCTTGCTTCCCTGATAGCCATAATCTCCAAATATTCAAATGTAATGTCAATCAACATCTTCTGATGCCTTGATCTTCATCCCTGCCTTTCTCTCTATCCTTTCCACCCTTCTTTATTCTTACTCTCACTATCTATCACCCCTTGCATGTTAGTGGCACTCCCACCTTGCTCGGGGTGAAATGCTTAAAAAAAAAATATAATATGGCATTTTTCTTTTTTTTTTTTTTTTTTTTTTTTTTTTTTTTTTCAGGCTGGCTTTGCTAATGGAGTCACATTGTTGATTCTCATTGCTTTTCTCATGTTTTATTCTGCATATCGGATTATGAGTTGCACACTAGAAATGGGTAAGTATTTACTTCATTTGTTCTTTTTCTCTTGTATAAACTATATTGGGATTACCTCAACACCAGGTTTGCTACAACTCTGTTAAGTGGCCCTGTTAAACTGCTGTAACAACAGAACCCTTTCTATTTCATCCTATTTTTCCCCTCTCTATTTGCCTACAGTAGCATCAGCATGGACTTTTGTCCATTTGGCAATATCTTTCCATGAAATATTTTATACATACATACACATACACCATTCCTAATAGCTAGATTTTAATGTCTTCTTTCTTTTCAGTTATTTTTGCATGCGTACAAGTATATTTTCTTTCTTGCTAATCATTTATTAATAGGAATGTAGCTGAGTGGTTAGAATGTTTGCTTTTTGACCATGAGACCCAGGTTCAAATCTCACCCTGGTTAGTTTGTTAGGAAAGTGACTTTTTGATGTTATTGGCCCTGAGAGGCGATCCCAGCATGTGGCAGTTAAATGACATTCAACACTCTTCCTCACCCAGCTACTTGACACTTACACTCTTCGTTCTCCCTCGCCTTTTTTTTTTCACACATACATGTGAAGAAATCATATACACCATGCAGAGAAAAATTTAGTTGTAAAACCATGAAAATAAAAATATTTTATATTTTTATATTTAAAAACCTTTCTCACCTTTTTCTTTGTTTTGGCTTTATTCACATCCACAACACACTCAAAGGAAATGGATGGGAACTCTGTTGAAAGTGTTTAACTGGCACCACAATTTCTGCCTGTTTTTTTTTTTGTTTGTTTTTTTTCCCCCTGGCCAGTCCAATATGCACACCACAATTCAATTTGGTACCTTTTTCACATCGGAGTATCTGAGTCTTCACTGCAGTTACAGTGGAAATAGTATAACTCACTTTTCTTTGTTTTGGTAAATTGTTCAATTGTAATGCTTGCGAAAATGAAAGATCATTAGAGGAGGAAGAACTGGAAGCTAATAATTACACCTATTTAGGACAGGTGATAACATAAAAAGATCATAAAAATTAAATAAAACACTGGTTGAGATTTTTTTTTTATTGTTTATACCCCCACTGATTTCAGTAGTCATTTTCCCAAAATAGTCCCACCCATCTATGTCCTGAGCTGGATCAACACTAATTTTTTTTTTTTTTATCTTGCAGCACACTTGGGATTGAAGGATTTCTCTGATGTTTGTCGCCATTACCTGGGACAAGCTGGTTACATTATGTGCAGCATTTGTTCTCTGATTTCCCTCATTGGTGGCATGATTGTCTACTGGATTCTTTTATCGAACTTCATGTACAATACGGTTAAGTACTTTTTCTGTAAGTTAAACTATTTTCCAGTTCATAACCTGTACTTGGGTAGTGTAGGAACAGATGACAAGAAATATAGCACAGAAATCTGTTAATGCCATAGTAAAAGTTAAAGGTGCCTTCCAGAAACTAAGCAAATGTGTGTGTATGTATATATATATATATATATATATATATATATATATATATATATATATATATATATATATATATATATATATGTGAAAAGTGAATATAAATATAAATAAATATATATATATGTATAATTATTTATATGAATGACAAAACGACGAAATCTCCCCACCACTTCCACAATAACACCAATACACGCAATCTACATAAACCCAAATTTTTTAAAACAGTAATCAGTTTGTCTGACGATCGCTAAAGCGTGAAACCCAGGGTCACAAACTCACATCTATCCAACCAAATATATATATATATATATATATATATATATATATATAATATAATTATTATTTATAAAAAAATTATAACATAAGTATGTTATAAAATCACTACAAAAATAGCCATTTTGTTTCAACACACTCTGTGTCATATCAAGTGATGATGTTGAAAGTAAAATAAATGGTTTTAAAAGTTTCAGATTAATTAACGATCCTACACTAGGGGGAAACATTGTTACAAAAGCTAGAATAACCAATCAAAAACCAAGTATAGAAACATTCAAAAGCTTGACAACGAAAGCATGCTATAATAGCTATTCAGATCTTTAAATACGTGTAATATTAAAAATAATTTATACTAACCAATAATTATAAAATTATATGATAAAATTTAATATTAAAATTAAAAACTGGCAATTTTAAAATCCAAATTTAATCACTATTAAGTTTAAAAACTACAAAATTATTGAGAAAAGAAAAAATATATATGTTTATTCAATTCATTTCTTCATTGAAATTACGTTCGACAAGACGCTACAATATATCCGGTCATTTGACAATACATGTATATATATTTTTTTCCTTTCCCTTTCTTTTCCGTTTTTATTTTAAAGTTTGTGAATGTGGTCTTAAACTCACGCGCAAAACAACAAAAACACAATCAGATTATAATACATAAGCACCCAGACATAATTAGACACACACACACACACACACACACTAAAAAAAAAAAATAGGGGGTGGGGGCGAGACATGAACATCTCTACAGTCCTTTATGGAAAAAAGGAGACGTCGAAACTAACACTTATACACACACAGAGTTAAATGTGAATACACTCTACATACACATAGACACCGATAGATACACATACATACTTCCACAGACAATGACATAGACAATGAGAAATCACAACCAATAAATATTTCAGACTTAAATAAATGCTAACCACTATTGAATTATAACTTAAGGGAGCAAATATACAAAGATAAAAATGGTTAAAAATAATATTATTTAATATATTAAAACGAAAATTCCAAAACCATAAATATCAATAAAAATATATATTAATCATATAAGTTGATAATAGTTTCATTATATATTAGGCAAAGAAAAACAGGATAAAGAAACCCACAGATACATATATATATATATATATATATATATATATATATATATATACACAAAACACAAATTAACACACATAAACATACACATACAGAAATACATACAAATAAATATATAAAACATATATACATATACATATCTATGATAACAAGTACACATGCACGCACATATACATATAAACCTAAATACACACACATATATACACAGACTTTTATGCACACATACTTACATATATAAAAACAGTCATGATATACCAAAGTTTCCATACCCACACATACACACAAACTCATACATAATAGGTGCCAACACACACACACACATATATATACATACACAAACATACATAAATATATATACACACATACATACATATCTACAAATAAACATAAATATATCTATCTAAAATAACAACTACCCATATATACATGCATACATAAAAATACAACAACACTCAACCAAATACATATATAAACGTACTAACATATAGATACATAAATATACCTTCAAATACCAACACACAGCAATATACATAAAGCCTAACATACAAATATATAAACACATTCATACAAACAGAAATATACTTAAATATAAATATACATACACAATAAAATAGGACACATACAGATATATACATATATGCACACACAGATATATATATATATATATATACACACACATACATACACACACACATACACACACATGCTGGCCAACCATTATACCGCCGTGATTTTATCATACATATACATATTTATATATATACACATACACACACATACATACATATACACACATACATACATACATATATATATATATATATATACATATATTTACATACATACATATACACACACACATACATATATAGGCACACACATACACACATACATCAACAATTAACCTTTTCTCTTATAATCTACCATACCTTCCCACATTATATATATATATATATATATATATATATATATATATATATACATATACACACACACTCACATATATATATATACATACACCCCCCACACCCACACATATATATAAAAAAAAAAAAAAACTATAAATACACTTATATACAAACCTGCACATTCCTCAGTGCAAATACTCTAACCAACACATAAATAAATATATACACATTTACACCAACACTAATAACACTATGCAGGTAAACAATACACACTTATATCGTAAGTATGACCATCATGCAATAAAAATACTAATCTATTAAAAAAATACAGCGACATATCATTATCATTTAAAGTATACGACCCTACACTAAGTTAAATTTATAACGGTGTTTACAATTTACTGTAAGTTCATATCTTTGATTTAAGAGATCAGCCTTGTTTTTAAATCTAATAATTTCAAATTTTTCATTAAGGCATAGATTACGTGGGGCATATAGGGAGTTACATGTCCGAGCTTTCTTAACCAAACTCCATTTAGCCGTAGGTGTTTTGTTCTTATCTTTTAGATTCCAAAAATACTTGGATAATGAAGTCATGTACCTATATTCACTGTGATTAAAGGATTGCATATGCCCCCGCCAGCGTTCCTTGACATTGAAAATCCAAATATAAAGAAGTTTTACATTGGTTCTACCATGAAAACATCATGGTAGAACCAATGTAAAACTTCTTTATATTTGGATTTTCAATTGTTGAAATAGTACCAAGATAGACTACAGAAGTAATCCCACAGTTAGTTTGTAGTGGACAATTATTCAGATTCCTACAATTACATAAGTTGTTATTTGTATTCTTATAATTAGTATTGCAGTTAGTAACCTGTTGATTAGTCAAGCCTATTGAATTCCTATACTTGTTAAAGACTATGTTGTTATGTTTTTTAATTATCTTCTCCAGGTTATCAGCACAACTATAGCTTAATATATATGTATATATGGGTAGTTGTTATTGTAGATAGATATATTTATATATATGTTTATTTGTAGATATGTATGTATGTGTGTATATATATTTATGTATGTTTGTGTATGTATATATATGTGTGTGTGTGTGTTGGCACCTATTATGTATGAGTTTGTGTGTATGTGTGGGTATGGAAACTTTGGTATATCATGACTGTTTTTATATATGTAAGTATGTGTGCATAAAAGTCTGTGTATATATGTGTGTGTATTTAGGTTTATATGTATATGTGCGTGCATGTGTACTTGTTATCATAGATATGTATATGTGCGTATATGTTTATATATTTATTTGTATGTATTTCTGTATGTGTATGTTTATGTGTGTTAATTTGTGTTTGCTGCCGTGTGTGTATATATATATATATATATATATATATATATATATATATATATATATATATATATGTATCTGTGGGTTTCTTTATCCTGTTTTTCTTTGCCTAATATATAATGAAACTATTATCAACTTATATGATTAATATATATTTTTATTGATATTTATGGTTTTGGAATTTTCGTTTTAATATATTAAATAATATTATTTTTAACCATTTTTATCTTTGTATATTTGCTCCCTTAAGTTATAATTCAATAGTGGTTAGCATTTAAGTCTGAAATATTTATTGGTTGTGATTTCTCATTGTCTATGTCATTCTCTGTGGATGTATGTATGTGTATCAATCGGTGTCTATGTGTATGTAGAGTGTATTCACATTTAACTGTATGTGTGTATAAGTGTTAGTTTCCACGTCTCCTTTTTTTTCATAAAGGGCTGTAGAGATGTTCATGCCTCGCCCCCCACCTCCTTTTTTTTTCTTTTTTTTTTTGTGTGTGTGTGTATCTAATTATGTCTGGGTGCTTATGTATTATAATCTGATTGTGTTTTTGTTGTTTTGCACGTGAGTTTAAGACCACATTCACAAACTTTAAAATAAAAACGAAAAAGAAAGGGAAAGGAAAAAAATATATATACATGTATTGTCAAATGACCGGATATATTGTAGCGTCTTGTCGAACGTAATTTCAATGAAGAAATGAATTGAATAAACATATATATTTTTTCTTTTCTCAATAATTTTGTAGTTTTTAAACTTAATAGTGATTAAATTTGGATTTTAAAATTGCCAGTTTTTAATTTTAATAATAAATTTTATCATATAATTTTATAATTATTGGTTAGTATAAATTATTTTTAATATTACACGTATTTAAAGATCTGAATAGCTATTATAGCATGCTTTCGTTGTCAAGCTTTTGAATGTTTCTATACTTGGTTTTTGATTGGTTATTCTAGCTTTTGTAACAATGTTTCCCCCTAGTGTAGGATCGTTAATTAATCTGAAACTTTTAAAACCATTTATTTTCTTTTCAACATCATCACTTGATAAGACGCAGAGTGTGTTGAAACAAAATGGCTATTTTTGTAGTGATTTTATAACATACTTATGTTATAATTTTTTTATAAAAAATAATTATATCTGCTCTACTTTGTATTGAGCACTCTTTTAAGAATAGTAATTGTTGGTTATTGGAATTCATTCCG